AGGTACATTCTGGCTAGGACGAAGTCATTTTTGTCCTCACCAATATGTACTCACTTCCCTGTGACCCAATTGTGGGGATCCAGCTGGTCTCAGTTGCTGCCCAGGACTACGCTTCTGTCATTACATCCAATTACACTCTGTGCAATCCTGGATTTGTCTGCATCTTTCTTTGGTCTCTTAGCACTCTGGGGCCAGTCCTCCTGTATTAGGACCAAGTTGTTCTGGAGCAATAGACATGGTTTTCTTTTCTATTAAGTCTTCAAAATGTCTGGCCCACGCTTTTCATAGTAAATTTTAATACAAAATAAACCAGGACAATAACTACTCTTTATTACATAAATATATTAGTGGATAAATTGAGTTAATGTGAACTAGAAAAATTGCAACTAATAGAATATGGCAAATGTAGAATATATCTTGGTGAGGGAAGGAGATTATCCTCTTGTTTTTGTCTCCTAAATTATTTAACTACTTACTTTCAAAAATAAAAAAATGCAAAAAAATATTTTCCAATTTTATTTCCAGCCACATAAAACTGTTCTAGTCCAAAGTTTCATTGAGTAATATGATACCTTATAGAGCTTAATTAAGTAAAGAAGAAAAACATTAAAGACATTGGAATCTGAAAATAATATTTATTATTATGTAATTAATTAGTATTTTCCCTTCCTCTTATCTACTTGACTTCCTATTTTTTTTTTATTTTGGTTCTGAAGTGTTGCATCACTTCCATACCTTACTATATTAATGTAAACATATGATCCTATTTCTGAGAAATATATTTGGTAGATAGAAATTTAAAATGATGTAAAAAGGGGAGCAGGGGTCCAGACAGACATCAAATGATTCAATAGAGGAAAGAAAAATCAAGGAATGGAACGCTTGTTTATATCCTTTATGGTCTAGATTCCATAACTTGGCCTCAGGAATGAAAGTCATGAAAATAGCAGAATCACATGACTTGGCACACCTTAATGAAACCTCAAATGTGCTGAACTACACCCTCTATATAAATCATCAAGTGAATATACTCTCCTGGGTCAAGTTCACCTATATGTCAGCATCAGCTTCCATGTGAATCACCACATTCAAAGAAAGAAACTAAAGGAATTTTCCAGATATGGAAAGATCTAGAGAGGCAAAATGTCTAAATAAAAATATTCTAATAACCTTATAACATCATATCTACTTTATCTACACATGCACATATAAACATATATGTACATATATCTGAACACACAGACACATGCATCACATCCATTAGTGAGAATCCTTCCTCCCAATAACTAAAATTCCTAGTTGTGAAACTAAAATTTTCCAATTTTAGTTTTGCTTGAGAGTAATCTAGTATGTCTACTTTTCCTAACGTTCTTCAACAATACTCATGTTTGCCTTCTGATTATGAAAAGGGAGAGTTTTTAAAGTTATAATTCTTCTTTTTTTGCTGTGAATATTACAAGCAATCTCTGAAATTGCACTAAAAATATTTGGGAGTCACGTCCTTTGTTTCACTTTCTTAATAAAGCCAACAAAAAGCTTTCAGGGTGGATTTTTATAATAGCAAATGTCAATGCAGACCTGTTAAATACAGTGAACAAACTTGCCTGCTGCAGCAAGCATTCCACACAAATCGACTAGGTGTGGCTTTTATTCATTGTTCAGTCACACTGAACAGAGACTGCTCTCTAGTTACCATCCCATTGAGGTTGACATTCCCTTTATCTATGGGCTTATAATAAGCAAACCATATTCAATCTTGCAAAGGCAGATGTGCTTTTCTGGTATCCCAGAAACAGATCAAAGTATGCTTTGTAGAAAGACCTGAAGTTTAAGCCAGTAATATAAATGGGTCTTACTGGGAAACCATACAAATATAAGAACTAGAAATATTTTAAACAAAAGCTTGACTATTTTAGGGACAAGTATTCAATTATTGGTAATGGGGTGATTAAGAGAGCAAGAGTTGTTTGGTGGAGAGTCGGTACTAGGGAAATTTAAGTAAAATTAAACTTTACTTCTGTAATTATATCAGGATCAGGATCCATAATGAAAAGATTTCTTCCAGATCAGACTGGTAAATGCCACTTAAAATCGTTTGCATTAACTCAATTACAGAACATCTATGAGGCAGCTTACTAGGCCACAGAGCAGGAGCATATCAGCTACAGCAGGCTTAGAATTTTGTACACATAATAACTGCAGAAATTAATCTTTTATCAGTTTATCACATCACAACGGCTATCATTAAATAATCTATGAGGTAAAAAAGTAATTTCTAATTGTTCCCTGGGATCTTCTAAGTAATGCCTTGTATCTTGTGACATGCCATAAAATAAATTATACTCCTGTGAGTCATATCAATCATTATCTGCAGTAAAAATCTGAAATTACCACCAATGAAGAAAAAAAAAACAAAGGAAATGCATTCTACTATAGAAATCATGTTGAATAAAATAAGCACAAATCAAGAGGCTAGAAAACTTAATGAATTTCTTATCGGATTCTAAAAAAAAAAAAAACAAACAAACACTCCCTACTCCTCCAGTGTGATCCCACATGATCAATAATGCAAGAAGGATTGAGACTTTGAATGGAGAGACTCTGGCAGAAGTTGAATGGAAGGTGTATAGTTACCACTACTTTACCCTACAACTTGCTCTCTGATTCCCTGAAGCAGGTCATTTGACTGGTGTCCTGAACTAGCCCCTGACCTTTGAAAAGAGATTTGCTCTAACACTATAAAATATGGTGGGCTCAGGTGTTTGACAATAAAATCTTGCTCCCAATCCTTGCTCAATTTGAAAGTAAGACATCCCATAAGAGGATGAGGGTAGCAATGTTGAGTTAAACGTTTCTTTGTCATAGTCACTTTTGAAGAATATTCTCATAACTCCATTCTAACTCCTAGGAACCATTCTTCTATTCTGTGTGCCTGTGAGTTAAACTTGTTTCAAGATTCCACATAGAGGTGAGGTCAGGCAGTATTTCTTTCTCTATCTGGCCTATTTCACTTAGCATAATGTTTTCCAAGCTAATCCATGTTGTCTTATTTAATAAACTATACAAATATCACATTTACATTGTACATCTTAAACATATATACTTTTATTTGCCAATTATATCTTAATAAAATGGAAAAAAGTAAAAGCTCCTCTGGTTTATTCTACATTTTCTAGACTCACCAAGTATATTCACTTCTGTTTTGTACATATCTAGGAGCCTTTGTCTTTCTTCCCTACTCCTTTAGACCCAGGGAGGAAACGTAGTATGTGAAAGCCCAGGAAAGAGTTTTGGTAAGGAGTTGACAATGAAAAGTATTAGTGAAGGTGAAACAGGAGCTCTGAAGAGGCTATTGGTGATCTGAGAACCAATTTATCAACATAACTAATTAGCACTGGGTTACAAGGCAAACTAAGAGTATAGGACATAAAATATATTTAATTTACCTAAATCTGTCTAGACATTCTGGAAAAAAGAATATCATGGTGCAAAACATCAATGCCCCTCTCAACTGTTTTTTGCATTTATGTATACAGGTGTGATAGTTAAAGGGTGTTACATTAACCCAGATTTCCTTGAATTCTAAGAACCAACTTTATAATAAGGTTTTGCTGACAGCAGATTGTCCTATTCCCATATTTTCTTTGCATCTAAATAACACATGTATCTTTTGGCTTTCAGTGTTTATTATATAGTCACTGATGGAATGGGTAACAAAGAAAGGTAACAGCTCTTTCAAATTTATCTTGTTAATTTTAAAAATGTTGGCTAGCTGGAATTAGAATGAGACACCATTGTGCTAAATCTGAGAGCTGAAGAATTGTAGCAGAAAGGGGACAGTTTTCAATTCCCTCTGAGAAGTGTTGGGCCAAAATGCAACATTACATTTGAAGGTATCAGGACAAGATAAATTTTCAATAGGACAATATGAACAGATATAGCTTAATTGCTTTCTATAAATCCATTTAAACTCACTGATCCACAAAATACTAGACACTTATTAATCTTACTAATTTTGTGCATAAGGAAACTCTGTATTTAGGTTAAGTAGTACAAACCACCACTCAATAACTAGCTAGTATTCCTCAAGAAAGTTAAGGTCATTCAAAATAGGAAACAACTGAGAAATGGTTACAGATCAGAAGAGAGAGGGGAGACAGAATCCAAACAAATGTACTGTGGTACTGGTATCCTGGAGTAGACACTAGAATATAAAGGGAACATTACTGAAAAACATGGTGAAGTGGGAATAAAGCCAGCAGTTTAGTTAACAGTAATATGAGAATCTCAATTTTTTGGTTCTGATAAGTCTGCTACGGTATTTTAAGATGTTAACGGCAGGGGAAAGCTGGGGTATAGCTCAGTAGTAGAGCACTTACCTTGCATGTTCAAAACCCCAATTTCAGTCTCAGCCCTGTAAAAAACAAAACAAAGCAAAACCCCCCAACATAAAACAAAACACTGGAGAAACTGGGTGAGGGATAATGCAGGCACTCTCTGGCCTGCTTTTAAAGTTCTTCCAATGAATCCAAAATGACTTTAAAATAAAAAGTTTATTTAAAGGCAACAACAAAACTATCAAAGAACAGAGAATTTTGTTTGAATTAATGTCCTAGAATTCAAAGATTTCCATGTAATAATAATCAATCTTTCTCTTCATCTTAACATGCACTTGCTCCTTTGTTAATATTCTTCTAGGAATCAACTCATGCATAAATGCAACCAGGATTTCAATCCCACGCACCTGATTGCTCTCTTCACATGCACAGCTCAGAAGTGTCAATGAACATGAGCTGAGTCCTAAATCCTGTAGTAACTAGCTTTCCAAAGGCCTACAAGGTTATTCCAATGTAGATATATATGCTTCGAATAAAGTACATGAGGCTGGGGATGTAGTTCACTGGTGACACACTTGCTTAGCTCACGAGGCCCTGGGTCTAGTTCCCAGCATCATAAAACACACAATATGCACTGTCAACTTTCAGACAGCTGTGACTTACAAGTGATGACATCTGAGCATTTTGGAGCATAAGCTGCATCTGCTGGGCGAACATGGCTGCTGCAGTCTTCTGTTGAATCAGATTGTTACGTCCATTAATCTCCAGCTGCGTTTTTAAGTGTGGAGGAGGGTGAAGGTACTTGCAATTCTCTCGAGTACACCGACCCTAATAGTGAAGAATTAGACAAAGTTTTTATTTAGTATTTCTAACAATCTTACATGGTTGAGGAAATAAGAGCTTATTTATTAAGTTCTTATCATGTGCCAAGAACTTTCATAAATGTTTTCCATGAATTAACTTATTTCATCTTCCTAAGTGTAAAATTGATACTTTTACAATCTTCATTTTCTAGGTCAGGAAATTGAGATTAAGAGAGGCTAAGTGACTTGCCCATGCACACACAACTAAAAAGTGACAAAACTAGAACTAAAACACAGCTGGTCTGATTCCAGAACTCCTTCTCTTAGCCACTCTGCTCTGCTTTGGTATGTATCAAGTTATGTTTAGAACATAAAATATTGTGAATATTATGTCATAAAATTTAAATAAATTACAAATTTAAATAAAAATTATCCATCACGAGCTGGCAAATCATGTGTTTTTAAAGAAGACTTGGGATTTGGATCCACATGTATAAGTAACCAAGAAAATTCAGGGAAAACATTTAATAACCATCCACACATAGATATATAAATTTTGGATTCAATTATTTGAGGGCAATCTAGGAGCTCTTTTCCCAAAATCCACAATGTGAAAAACATCCTGAAATCCACTGACATTCTGTTAATCAAAAAATAAATCCTTATATCTGGCAGCCAACTTTTTCTTCAGGATCTAGAAGCAAAGGCCTTACATTACTTAGATAATTGAAACCAAAGTATATTTTAGATTCTCAGCTATTTGGATGTCTTATTGATGATTTAAACACCTTCAAGACAGGATAACATGTCAGTTCCACAGAATCCAACATGCCTTTGGTGTCACCTAAACACTAACATGGCTGCCAATTACGGTGTTTACTATGTGGTAGCAAATAATGTCACCGGACTAGCTGTTTATCACATTATCATGTGAACCATTGTTGTTTTCAACTCATGAGCACTATATGCAGCAGCTAATAATTATCTCATTTGGATTACTAGGTCCACTATAATTCTTTTATGGCAAACACAACCACAAGAAATTCTTATTCCTATAGATACTAAGATTCTTTATAGTGCATGAGGATATTGGGAGAGGAAGAGAGAGAAAAATGACAATTTTTTTTGGACTCAAGAGTGCAAGTTGCTAGGCCACCTGAATCCCCAGGAGAAAATCGAGTTAGTTTACCAAGTGTTTTTCATTCAACACATGCTATGCATTTTTCTTATTTATGATGCTTAAGTAGTTTAGGCAATCACTTCTCCATATTTATTTTTCTTGCCATGAAAGCATTCCTATAAGTTCACTGGGAATCCAGGTGTGGCCTTCAAAACTTTTATAAAGCTATATATAATGCAAACTTTTTGATGGGGGGTACTTCACTCATTCATTTTATTTTTACTTTTTGAATTTTCAGGACAGGAATTTATTAGTGCATTACAGGTGTACATAATAGCTGGGTTCATTTCCACATCATCATACATGCATTGAATCTCTTTTACTTTTTCATTCATTTAAAAACATTTAAAATATTTTAAATTGCACATAAGAATCATACACATTTATGGCATGCAGTGTAATATTTCAATACATGTATACAATGTGCAATGATCAAATTGGTGTAATTTGTCTATCACCTTAAACATTTATCATTTTTTTGTGTGTGCTAGGAACATTCAAATCCTCTCTAGTTAGCTATTTTTTAACATTAAACAAGGCGAGTGGTGGGAGGGAAAGGGAGAGAGAAGGGAAATTGCATGGAAACGGAAGGAAACCTTCAATGCTATACGAAATCACATATAAGAGGTTGTGAGGGGAAAGGGGGGCGGAAACAAGGGAGAGAACTGAACAACAACAGATTAGGTAGAGAGAGAAGATGGGAGGGGAGGGGAGCGGGTATAGTAGGGGATAGGAAAGGCAGCAGAATACAACAGTCACTAATATGGCATTATGTAAAAATGTGAATGTGTAACTGATGTGATTCTACAATTTGTATTTGGGGTAAAAATGGGAGTTCATAACTCACTTGAATCAAATGTATGAAAGATGATATGTCATGAGCTTTATAATGTCTTGAACAACCAATAAAAAAAATAAATAAAACATACAATTAATTATTGTCAATCATAGTTACCTTACTGTGCTATGGAACATTAGCAGTGATCCCCTATCCAACTGCATCCATTAACCATATTAGATCACTGGAACCAGGTAGCTCTATTGTTTTACCTCACTGGCAAGAAGTGGAATATAACTTAAACTTAGTGCCGGAAATGAAAAGGTACACTGTTGCTTTCTATGGTGGATATCTTTTTGTTTCTCCTTTTGATCAATTTAGATATAAGCAAATTTAAATGATTTTCAAAAAGTTTAATAACATTTCCACTTCAATTTGCCTTTATATTTCTCTGCAAATCCTGGAAAAAAAGAATTTATAGGTTGAAAGAATTAAGAATAGTATTAACTTAGTCCTCTTGAATTCTTACAAGGAGACTAGGAATAGCTATATAATTTCAGCACATGTAGGGACTGTAAGGAAATCCTCATCTATGCTTAAAAATGACAATAAAGAGGGTTTTTTTTTCAAGATGAATGTGTTCCAAGGTAAGCCATTAGCTTCGTTTTTACATCTATCATATCTTGCAGCAAGGCAAAGATGGTCTCAGGATTTTAGTGTATACATCTTCCACCCTCCACCCACATAACTGAGGTTATCTGGCTTAAAATTCACCGCCTGGAGGAGGTAGGGCACTTAGTGACTTTCACCATCAGGCATGCTAGTTTATATTTCTACTTCAGGCTTCCTCCTCCTCCTCCTTCCACACCCCAACATTAAACATTTCCCCAAGGCTCAGGCCTAAATCTTTTGCTGTCTCTTCTCATTTCTTTTCCCTGGAGAAATGAAATTGTTCCAAAGTTTCTCTAAAGTTTCATCCTGCCCTGCAACTGTCCAGGTCTTAAATCTCTATCTCTACCTCTGACCTCTCTTCTGAATTTCAGACCTTTGCATCACCAGTTGCAGCAGCATTTGAAGATACTGCCCCCCAATCAGGTCTAAATGCCTCACTCCTGACCTTCCTTCTCCTTTTCTTATCTTTCATCTTGCTGCTTACGCACATTCAGGGCCATTGCACCAATCCCTAGGCTTTGGGGCACTCACATAGCAGCAGTGAGAAAAGAAATCAGGCAGCTGCTGAGCAGGATCGCCTTAGGATTACGAAGCCACCTAGTGCTTGTTAACACAATTAGTACATATGGTCACACAATACAATTTCTAACTCTTCTGCAACACACACACACACACACACACGTATATAAAGACTGTCTTTTAGTTTTTTTTTTTTTAATGTGGTGTTGAACCCAGTGCCTCATGTGTGCTAGGCAAGTGCTCTACCACTGAGCCACAAATCCAGCCCAAGATCATCTTTGTTACTCACAAATTCCAAATAATACATTAGCTTTTTTTAAAAAAAAGAAAAAAAGAATAATTGGGATTTCATTATTTGTGGTGAGAACTTAGAAAGTTTTAATACCATTTGGAATGAATGCAATCAGAGAAGAAGAAAGGGAGGGAGTATAGAATATTTGGCACATTTTCTGCCAACCCAGAGATAAAAAATTGAACATGCCTTTGTGCTTTTATATCATTGTTCCTTACATATAACAACTTTAGTTTTCACTTATAACATTTTTACAAAGCGAAAATGGTAAACAAATAGGAAAAAAAGGATAATCATGCCTTAAAAATTACATCAGGTTGGGCTATAAAACTAAAGTCTGGAATATGAGGCAGCAAGAGATTTTTAAAAAACATATTCATCTTAGTTATGAGATTTTACTTGATTTATAAAGCATTCTTTTTTGAATGACAGAATTCATAATTTAATTCTATAACAATGCAAATGCATAGCAATACCATTTTACCAGAGACTGCTGTTTATGTTAAAGAAAGCTTATAAAATAAAAAAAATCTGCATTTTCTTTCGAAACAATAGATGAGGAGAACAAGTAATTTAATATCTAGGTTATCTGTGGAATACGTTACAAAAGAAAACCAAGCCTCTCATGTTTTTCAAAATGTCTTTAGAACTCAGGATAATGTATCTATGTGCAGAACACTTGGTGATAATCAACCTCCTCTAGATAGCATTTTGTGGGGAACAAGCTTTGCTTTTGATATTTGGTAACACTTTCTTTTCATCATTGCAGGGGATAAAGACTGTGGTAGATTAAGTATGGATGAGATGAAGTGTGGAAGGGGCAGGGATTGTCCCAACAGAGTATGTAATCACACATTATACTTGTATTTTGGAAAAACCTATGAATAGAAAGTTCCAATGATTTTTCTGAGCTAACTAAGCACTCTAAGTGGGCCACAAGATATCCCACCACAGTAAATCTATAATAGCCCAGAAACTATCTTGAATCTTAAAAAAAAAATCTCTTCTCACATTTCCCTAGCTAAGTCGATGGTGTCTTAAGCCTTCTTTCTTCCAATCTAGACACAAAAGGTCAGAAAGGCCATGTATTAGTGGAAAGTATTAGATTATGTAATTTATCAAAGACTCAGAAATATTATACCTGTCACAATTGCCACCTTTCATAGAGGTGCCTATATCCTAAAAACAGCAGCTAAGGCTAGTCAAGATATATTAAACCAGTCTCT